TGGGGTTTGGCTTTCCTAGAACTTGCTATGTAGACCAGGCTGACCTTGAATTTACAGAGATCTACCTTGCCTCTGCCTCACAAGAACTGGGATTAAAGGCATACACCACTACAACCAGCTAATTTTACTATTAAAAGTTTTGTATTCAATAAACTTCTCAAGGGAGACACTCACTGTTGAAAATCAATCTGAGGGAGACTAAACAAAATGTTTGCTTAAAATAACAAAGTAGCTGATGAACCAGCCTGCCTCCATTTTAGGCTTAAAAGCCTCCATTATTAGCTTAAAAGACATTATAGAGTCATTCCTGTTTATGATTAAACTTCTGTTTATCAAGGATTAGTCTATGCCCCCCACCTGTAAACTTAACCACAAATGGTTCTGTACTGCTTGTTCCTGGAAATAGCAACCATGCCTTTGTTTTGAAACTACCTTGCAACCCTACCTTTGTTTCAAAAGGTTGTTATGACTACCTGTTATGACTTCCTTGTTATGACAACCTTGTAATCATGTATTTCTTTCAGGAGGTTGCTATGACTAACTTGTTATGCTATGTTCTGCTCCTGTAATGCCATCTATTTTACAGGCCAAATCCCCCATTTGGAAACCCCCTACCCCTGAGCTATAAAAATGTCTTCTTCACATCCAATGCTGATCTCCTGAAACCCAATTTTAGGAAGAGACAGACTATGTACATGAATAAAAAGTCTTGCTTTAATTACTTTGGCCATGATAATTTGTGATCTTTTCTCCTAGCATCTTTGGGATTAACAAAGCAAGGAAGAGACTACATTAACAAAAATTTCAAAAATTAAAAGCAACCTAAGTAGATAAAACAAAGCTAACAATGTGAGAAAGGCCCAGGAGCAAGCCAATTTTTCTAAAAACACAAGTACAAATAATCTCTGAAAAAGTAAGTCCAGAGAAGACTTGAAGAAGATTTGAGAAGGTTTGTTGATGAGAGATTCTCCAGACTCCTACTCCCCTTCACACACCACCACCAAACCACTGCCCCTTGTTATTAGGAGCTAGGGGTGGAAGCTCTGAAGAAAATAAACTTCAACTCTGGGCTAAAGGACATCAGGAAGAATTCATTTTTACTACAGTGAAAACAGGTGAGATTGTAGTAAGTGAAGGTCTACACACTGAATAGTTGGTAACACTCAGACCCCTACTCTTACTCACTAAGATGACAAAGCAGTTAGGCTCTCCAAACTCAAACCAGATAATTGGGGATTTTTTTCCTCTAGAGAACACAAACACTAAACTAACCTAATATTATTACATAACTACTATGTTTTTGGAAAGAGGACAGGGGAAGTGTTTGTATACAGAAAGGGGATGGAGTTGAGATCTAAATTCTCATTCTCCAAATAAACGAAAGAAAAAAAAACTCACAAAACTAAAAACATATGTAACAATAAACAGTAAGTAATAAATAAACATCAATTATGCATAAGGAGCAACAAAGTAAGGATCTGCTAATTTTGAATTTTAGTTTTGTTAATTATGTCCTTGACTAAATTTTTTTAAGTAACACAATATGTGTGAAAGACATTTTAAAAAGGAATTTATGTGGTGCTGGAGAGATGCCTCAGCAGTAAAGAGCACTTGCGGCTTTTGCGGAGGAGCCAGGTTAAGTTCCCAGCTCCCTACATGGCAGCTCACAACTGTCTGTCACTCTAGTTCTATGGGACACTGTCTCTTCTGACCTCTGAGGTCTCCTGCATGCCCACACACACAAAAAACTTTTTAAGGGAATTCATGTGTCAAATTGAAGAAGAGTTAGTAATCACCTAATAAATACTATTCAATATTTAATGATATAACAATGTTGTAATAAGGAAGAGAGAAAGAAAGAGAGCGCAAGAAAGAGAGAGAGAGCATATGCAAGAAAGAGGGTCCTGTCTCTTTGTAAGTAGCCTAACGACTCATACCATTTTTAAACTTGTTAATTAATGCATCATAACTAGAAGAAAGAAATTCCCAAATTTCTCTTTAAAAACGACTAACCAGGCTGGTGATAGAGACCTGTAAAACCACTGTTATACTCTGAATGTAATTGGCCCCCATCAGCTCATAGGGAGTGGCACTATTAGGAGGTGTGGCTTTGTTAGAATAGGTATGGCCTTGTTAGAGGAAGTGTGTCACTGTGGGGGTGGACTTTGAAGTCTCCTTTGTTCAAGCTATGCTCAGTGTGACAAATAGTTCACTTCCTGTTGCCTGCAGATCAAGATGTAGAACTCTCAGTTCCTTCTCCAGCACCATGTCTACCACACATTACCATGTCCTGCCATGATGATAATGGACTAAACCTCTGAGCTGTAAGCGAGCTACCCAATTAAATGTTTTCCTTTATAAGAGTTGCCATGGTTATAGTGTCTCTTCACAGCAATAGAAACCCTAAGACAACCACCAACTCAGGAAATTAAGGCAGGAATGCAGCCAAGTTCAAGGCTTGAGTGAACTAAGGGCAAGCAAGTTCAAGGCCAGCTCAGCACAACTTTGTGAAAGTCTGTCCCAAAATGAAAAATAGAAAACGGGTTGGGAACAGAGTCCAGTGGTAGAATGTTTGTCTTGCATGTTCAAAGCCGTGATTCAATCCACAGTACAACATAAATAAACAAATATAAAACTATGATTGTAGAATAGTTCTAAATAAATATTTCCTATAATTAAAAAATAAAGTTCATATTAACTTAAAATAAGATTTATTAAATTTATATCTCCAAAAGACATTTTTTTTTTTTTTTTTGGTTTTTCAAGACAGGGTTTCTCTGTATAACAGCCCTGGCTGTCCTAGAATTAGTTCTATACACCAGGCTGGCCTCGAACTCACAGAGATCCATCCACCTGCCTCTGCCTCCCGAGTGCTGGGATTAAAGGAGTATACCACTACCACTCAGTTCCTCCAAAAGAATCTTAATGAGTCCATAACAGGGGCAAAAAGCCTTGTCAATTGTCTGATACATAGTTTATATTAATCAGAAAGTATATTAATCAGAACTTTTTATGAAGGAGAATTCTCTTTACTTTTTAAATTTCTACTTGGCAATCTACTCTTCATCTATTAATATAGTAGGAAACAAGAAATTTAAAATCTAAGTTTTAGAAAGTACACTGAGCTGTTGGGTTAAATAATCTCATAAATAATGGTATTTCCACTATTTTGCAACTTGTTTTCAAATGTGAAATGAAACTTAGGATTTTTTGAAAGGTAAATTAGTGATCCTGCTACATACTAAGTAACATACAAAAAAAATTTAAGCTTAAAAAACTAGTAAACAGGACTGGCAAGATAGTTCATTGGATTGGATAAAGGCACTTGCTTGCCTTGTAAGTCTAACAATCTGGGCTTGATCCCCAAAACCCATGTAGAAGTGGTAGAAAGAGAAAACAAGCTCCACAAAGTAGTCCTCTGACTTCCACATTCACATGTGCTCCCCCTAGCCCCCATGCACATCATACATGAACACAATAAGTAAAATAAAGGTTGTTTTTAAGTACTTGGTAAATATTAAAATTTTAAATCACAGATTTCAAAGTACAGATAGACACAATCAGGAAACAAACAGATGACATGTCATTGTATAGACTTTGATATGAATATGGGCTATATATTAAATAGTATCATATATAGAATGCTAAATTTTGGGGGTATGACAATGGTATTGTATAAATTTAGAAGACTCTCAAGATGCTAAATACTTACTGGTGTGTCTACCACTTACTTTCAGGGAGTTCAGGAAGAAAAGAGAAAGTAAATGTAAAAATGTTAACACCAGTTCAGTCTGGGCAAAGGAAGCTCCATATTCAGTATACTAGTCTTCCATTCCAACTACAGATTTGAAGTTTTTAAAATAAAAAAGGTATGTGCATCCTTGTATGTCAGGGTCCATCCCAGTGTTGGGGTTCAGCCCCAAACCTATCGAAGGGTCCCTTGAAGAGGGAAGAAATGCTAGATAGGAATCATAGAAGTAGATGAAGAAAATAGAGACATAAGATAGCTTTGGACAGGCCCTGGGTTAATACACAGTCGCCCCAAGTTTAATCGTGATGAGCTTTTTATACATTAGCCAGGGGAGGAACAAAAGATCTCCCCCTCTCAATGTCCAGGTACTAAGTACCAACAAGTGTAGACCCTTCAAAACACCTGGTAACCATGCGCTTGGCCATATTATCTCATTATGCAGTCCTGCTGGCAAAGCAAGCTCAGACTTTCTGACCTTGAATAAGGCCTTTCTAGGGAGCTTCTATGAACCTCAATACTTGTATTTATTACTAAGACATGTATAAGAACTTAAGAGCCTATAGTGGAAATAATCCAAACACAAACAAGGAAAAAAATGGAGTAACTAAACAGAGATTGGCAAATGGATACACTATGGTATGCTCATACAAAAGAATAGCATGCAGCAATGAAAATGAATGAACTAATACTAACATACCACACTGGTGAAACTCAAATGAGGAACAGCTGAAGCTAGATATTAATAACAAGAACAAATACTTGTTGGATAAATGCTTTTCAGACAATACTTATGAAAGATCGGTCTTATAACTTATCTTTGTTTAACCAAAGTTGTATTCACAGACAGTACAAATAAGGCTTTAGTGAAACATATTAGGAAGGTATTTAAGACAAATTATTTTCAGACACCCTCATGCATATTATAAAACCACCTGCATACTACTGATCTGTTCATGAACTAGGATGCTCCGCTGTTTGTGAACAGTTAGTGGGCCACACTTTTTGAAAGATCTAGTTTGAATAAGCAGGTATACTGGATATAAACTTGTATCAAAAAGACTTCCTTAACTAAGAATGTTCAAACTGTACTATTACTTAATGGTTTTAGTTTTAAAATAAATCTAAATTCAGACTAATATCCAGAGACGGTGATGGTGGTGGTGGTGGTGTTGGTGGTGGTGGTGGTGGTGGTGGTGGTGGTGGTGGTGAAGAAGCTAAGGCAAGGAGGAGAAGAAAATAAAATACTCACATTAACTCTGAAAGCCTGTACAGTGTTATCCAGAAGAAGAATGTTGCAAACCACCTCTGTATGCTGTCTGTCTCGGGCCAACTCCGATGCTCGGACATTGTAGGTTCTGCCAGCAGGCAATCGGAAACGTGCGGTCATTACTGTCCACACAAGATCTAGGTTTAAAAAACAAGAATCACTAAATAAAAGGAATGGTACAAGATACAGTATAGCTTTAAAAAAAAAAGTTAATATGTATTTTAAATTAAAACATTGACAGAAAACAATTACACGTTTTGAAACGTCAAGATTAAGAAAATTAAGTATAAAATTACATATAAAGCTAAAATCACAAGCTACCCTAAAGAACTTTATCTTGCACTATTCTACTGAGAAGATTCAATGGGTTAGTTTCAGGAAGTCATATTCCAATTCAAGATACGTGCGCTTAAAGGGTGGAAGGCACAGGAGAGCTCAGCAAGTGGGGTGTCGCTCACTGATATGTGTTCTAAAAATACTGCAGACGGACAACAAGGGAGAAGACTGCTTCATTCCAATCACTATTGTTTTTTTTATTTAGAAAAACACTGTAGAATAACTGTGGGAGCCCGTTCTTGGGTTCCTCGTGGCTTTACCCAGCAGGTCCGAATAGAGGATGATCAGGACCATGGGCCTGAGTGCAGGTGTCTGAGATGGTCTGCACTTGGCTGTGCTGGGGGAGGAGGTCTTTTGCTCCACCCCTTGGCGTCTCTATAAAAACCCTGGACCAGAGACAGTCGGGGCCCGTTGGAATAGGTTCCAGGCCCTCTCGAGGCTATCCTTTATTTTCTATCTGTTTATCTCCGCAAGATTCTCCGCTATAAATCCTTCTATCTAATATTTCCTGCTGATCGCACTCAAGAAAACTCTGGGAAGCTGTGGGGGTGGTGGGTAAACGCCCCACAAATAACAATAGTGAAGATTATTTTATTTCAATTTCAATCAACCACTCTATCTTTTTTTATGAGAAAAGGGAGGTATCAGGGCCTCATTATGTACCCAGGTTGGCCTGGAACTCCTGCCTCAGCCTCCCAAATAGCTGGAACTACAGACATGTGAGATGTGTACCTCTCTGAGATTTTCAATGTTTACATAAGTGGAGGAAATACATAGATCACCTATAAAAGAACAAACTTGTCAATGATAGCTATTAAAAGACAATGAAACTGTACTTTCAAAGTTCTGAAAGAAACTTATTCGGGAACACTGAATTCTATACCCAGAAAACTAACAGTATTATTAGAGAGAAAAAAACAAAAACAAAATCATTTCAGGCATTCCATGACTCAAAATTTAAAATCCATACAACTTCCATCTTAAAGACAATGCAATAAAGGATACTGAGCAAGAAAAAACACAGACATTTAAGATATTACTATTTTGGTTCTTTCAAGACAAAATTTCTCCGTATAGTCCTGGCTGTTCTGGAACTTGCTCTGTAGACCAGGGTGGTCTCACACTCAGAGATCCTCTTGCCTCTTTGGGACACAAAACAAAACTAAATATACTTAAGGAACTGAAATTACACAAAGTATGTTCCCTGAGAACAAGAGAATTAAACTACAAATTAACAATAGAAAAGTCTCCAAACACAAGGAAAGTAAATAGCATACTTCTAAGTACACATTAGACAAACAAGAAATCTTAAGGGAACAAAAGATACACAGAATTAAATAAAACAGAAAACATAATACAGCAAAACTTGCAGGTTACATATATAGCAGCACTAATAAGGGAAATTTATAGGACTGCATGTATGTAACAGAAAAATGGGACATGCCTCAAACCAATAATCTAACCTCCTTCAGAACAGAGAACAGAGAAAAACCTAATGAAACCACAACAAATGGGGGAAATGAAATGCTTTTCTGCATCGATTGAAACATCACACTTTTATGATAAAAATTCTCAAAACAAACAAAGAAAAGGGGCACAATATCACCACACAATGCTTTTCTAGATACCCTCAAGGAAGGGTATCTAGAAAAGCATTGTGTGGTGATGTTGTGTTCCCCAAAATATTGTGTACCCTAATAAACTTATCTGGGGTCAGAGAACAGAACAGACACTAGATATAGAGGCCAGAAAATGGTGGCACTCACGACTTTAATGCTAGCATTCCAGAGGCAGAGCTCCATCTGAATCTCTGAGTTTAAAGCCACACTGGAAACAGCCAGGCATGGCAACATGAGCCTTTAATCCCAGGAAGTGATGTCAGAAAGCAGAAAGGTATATGAAGCATGGAAACCAGGAACTAGAGCTGGTTAAGCTTTTAGGCTTTTGAGCAGCAGTTTAGCTGAGATCTCAGAGGCTTCCAGTCTGAGGAAAGAGGATCAGCTAAGAAATTGGCAAGGTGAGGTGACTGTGGCTTGTTCTGCTTCTCTGATCATCCAGCATTCACCCCAATACCTGGCTCTGGGTTTGATTTTATTAATAAGAACTTTTAAGATTCATGCTACAGCATTCTATATGGCTCCTATCCTAATTAATTGAATAGTTAGAGTCTAAACATTTTCACCCTAAAATCAGGAACAAGGCAAGTAATTCCATGAAAGTGAGAGTGGTGAATGGCAGGGTGCATACAAAAAGAACTAAAACAGGCCGTGTTACCAAATTACCTGATGTATAGATAGAATACATGTTAAATTTCAAATATAACCCCATGTGTAAAAACTAAACAAAAATTAAAATGTACAAATATAACAAAATACATACAGAATGTTATGCTAAAGACTACAAAAGGTGAGCTGAAGAGATGCCCAGGGTGGTGAGGTGCCCCACCAAGCATGCCAATGTGAAGGGCTGTCATCTTACTGGGAGACATGAATTTTAAATTATGTTTTTCATTGAATATTTCTGTAGGATGTACTTCTCTGTAAGTACTGTTGAACTTAGTATATTTTACTCTTCAAACAAGAATTTTAGCCATTCAAATCATATAGTCTAAAGATTGTTTGAAGTGTGTTTAAAATATAATTCTGAAAACTCTGAGAATACCTGGGAATAGCAATTTACTGTTCTGGAATGTCAAAAATTAACATGCTAGGAATTTGTTTTCTTTTCTTTCTGCTTTTTTTTTTTTTTTTTGAGACAGGTTCTCACTGTTGTAGCTCTAGCTGGCCTAGACCTCTCTATGTAGACCAAGACAGCCTTAAACTCATAAAGATCTAGGGCTGAAGAGATGGCTCAGTGGTTAAGAGCACTGACTGTTCTTCTAGAGAACCTGGGTTCAATTCCCAGCACCCACATGGCAGCTCACAACTGTCTGTAACTCCAGTTTTGGGGGACTAGACACACATGGTAAAACACCAATGCACATAAAATAAAAATAATTTTAAAAAAAATTATAGAGATCTGCCTGCCTGTGTCCACAGAGTGCTGGGATTAAAGGTGTGCACCACCACGCTGTGTTTTTTAACAAATATACACATCAACTCTAATGAACCATGCTTTTGGTGTCACATCTAAGACTAGATCCTCAAACTTAGATAATAAAGACTGTCTTATGTTTTCTTCTAAAAATTTTACAGTTTAGGTTCTATGTTTAAATCTGATTCAGAGTACTTTTGAATATAAAATGAGAGGTAGTGTGGACTGAGGCTCATTTGTTATTTTGTATATATACAACTTTCTATCATTGTTGAAATGCCATCCCCCCCTTTTTAACTAATTTTATTTGGGGATGGGGTGTGTGTGCCATGACACCCATGCAGAGGTCAGAGAACAATTTGCAGCAGCAGATGCTCTCCTTCCACCACGGGGATTCTGGTGAGTAATCAAACTTGGCAGCGTGTACTGTCACCTACTAAGCTATCCAATACCAGACAATACCATAGTTGTTTTATATTCAAAAGTTCTCAATGAATCAGATTTAAATATAAAATCTATACCACAAAACTTACACAGATACACAGACACAAGCACATATAATTTAAAAATAAATCTTTAAAAACATTTCCATTGTACTAGGTATAAATAATATACAGAAGACTTAAAAGTATACAAAGAGATATGTGCAGGCTTTATGCAAATATTTCATCATCTTATATAAAGAACTTGAGACACCCACAGACTTTTACCACAAACACAAATAAATATCCTAGTATAAATAAGGGCCAAATGTTAAGAATAACAACTGTATCCTCTTTGGATACAAGAGAACAAAGGTTTTAAAACAATCTAGAGGAATGAAATGATCATGTCTTTCCTTTAATAAAGTTGTACTTCTTTCTCACAAGAATATTATGTTGATTCTTAATTTTTCTTGAGAATTACCCTAAGAAATTCTGGTTTACATTACTTTCCTAATAATTAAAACAATATACCTTTATTTGAAAACTGGAGTACTAGGTTGGGTCTAAAACATTTTTCTAAATGGTGTATCTCTTGACTTTGCAAATGATCAATTACATTAAAAATAGACAATCAACTGCTAGTTGAATTTCATGAAATGAAGAGACAAGAACGGAGAACCAGAACTTGAGCTAACCTTCTTAGTTACTACCTCTGGCCTCTTCCTTTTCTTGCTTCCAGGGTTATAAATCTCCAATACCTACTTTCAATCTCCTGGAAGATGGGTTCTGAGGCAATAGAAGTGCTTGGATTAGGAACAGTTTAGCATGAGGAGAAGCTGAAGAGGTCAACGATTTCAATTTCACTCAAGAGAGTCCACTGACTTAAAAGTCAAATACTCTTCCTGCATTCTTACATGTAGCTTTCAAATTATTAGTTTATTCTCCTTTAAATGACCAACTCTAACAAGTATTGCCATTATTCATCTTATTTCTAAGGATTCTAAATTAACTTTATCATTAATTAAAAGAATGATCTTCTACTGGCTAATTTGCCTGGTAACCCTGGATTTCCTTGCTAATTTGTCAGTAAAATATGTCCAAACACTAAAAAAGCAAATGTCATTTAAATAACCATTTTCTCATTTTATTACTTTTCTGTGTTTCATTTGAGAAAGCTAAAACAAAAATGCTAACAAAGAAATTAGAATTAGTAATTTGACCTCTGTATAGACCAATAAAGGAATATCAAATGACCATAGTTTGTAATTATGTGAAGCTAGAAGGTGACACTTAAGTGCTCCTAACAACCTTATGTACCAGAACAACAAGTTACATGGAGTTAT